ACTGATATAATACTGTAACCTAATGCATAATACATAATCAACAGCACCAATAATGTTTCTGTAGATATTTTTCCTGATCCACAATCACATACTGATTTCGCTGCCATATCTCTTTAATCTCCTTTAATCAGAAAGTTTCTCAGCCTTCATGTTTTATGACTTTTGACATTTTTTAAGTTCAAGACGGTTTTTCTATTAAATATCCCACACTTTATACTTCTCTGATAATTCCTTGTGGTTAGTTAGATTATGAGTTTGTGTCGGAAATATTAAATAGGTGATGTTGTATGTACCACATCAAGAGGCACAGGACACCACTTCGTCCCTTTTTTTATTTTAAACCCCATATCTTATTTACTTAAAGAAGATATTATAAGACCAATGCCCCCCAGGTGTGTTAACTTTGAAATGAATGAAGCTGATGCGCCTTTGGGTGGTGGGCACAACAGTGGAATATGTAGAACATGTGTCGTGGAAATGGGCACCTGACACCTGTGTGACCCTACTAACCAGTGTCACCAAAACGAAGCTAATAAAATGAAATAAAATTTATGAAACAAAATTCTAATCTCACTAACAATTTTCTGAAACATAATCTCATTGGACAAATAAATAATCAAGTGTAGAAAGGATGGAAAGATTAATTTCTTGCACTTTAATTCTTAGCAATGCCATTTACTGACTAAGGGATCTTAGGCAAGTTAATTTATCTCCCTAAATAGGTTTTTCTATATTGGTATTTAAAAAAAAAAAAAAACCTTTTTACACAACAGTCTGAAATCCATGCATAACTCAATACATTTGCATTACTGGCAATTTTGTGAGCAAATAATGTATCTACCCCAATGAGGCACATTCTTTTCTATTCTGTACAGTTATAAAAATAAAACTTCATAGTCACTTTTTTAAATGTTCCTCAAAGTAGTGTTGATAAAAAGTACAGTGCCTTACTTTTTGTCTTGCAAGTATAGCTATGCTTCAAAGAAATCTAGATTTGAATATTTTACTAAAAAAGCACTATACTTCCAAATGAATGTGAGTTAGTGAGACCAAATAAGCATTTAATGTTAGTAAATGAAAAAAAAATGACTCCTTAACAAGGACTTTCAGGGTTCAAAGGAGTGAAAAGGGCTTCTCTCAGACATGTCACCTGCAGTATAATTATAATTGTTATCAAATCATGCTTAAGAACAAATTATATTTTCTCACAGTTTACATCATGTACCTAATCATAGGAATGTAGAAAAGAAATGATTAACCCTCCAATTTGTACATATCAAGCGACATGACTTAAAAAAATAAATTAAAGTGATCTTAAAACTATGCTCCTTAAATTCAAATTACTTTCATGGGTATGCAGTACTCCAGAGAGGGAAGCACATTTAAAGTCCAAAAATAAAGTCAAAATCCACCAACCCCTTTCCACAAATTAGGAAAATGCACTTCTCCAAATTAGGAGTTTCTTTCTCAGAAGAAAGTCACCTCAGAGTTTTGGTTCATGCAGTATACAGGGTCCAGTACAGATAACACCCTTTTTTAATTATGTTATCTTTTATTACAAAATTATAAGCACCATATTCTGCAACATAACAATGTCACACTCAAGCACACCATATAACATTTTAGCTGAAGTGTTCAAATTAAAACTATAAATAATTACATCCATATTATTACCCTGCCAACCATGCTCAAGCAGGCGTTACTTCTGCTGCACCCTGTAGGCGTGGGAATTTCTTATCACTTTGCCTCGGCCAAAATGCTCTTCCTGCTGCTCCTCACACACCAGGCTTACTCAGCCTCAGGGTTTTCTTCCTTGATGCATACCGGTATCTGCCCGTGTGTTTAGAGACTTGTTCAGTCTAACTAAAACTAAGTGCTCTCGTACTCCATCACTCTCCATACTGTCCTACTCCACTGTGCTTCACAGCATCATCTGATGTTACAGGGTTATATTCATTTGTCTATTATCTGCTCATCTCCCCCAATGGGCAGCAGGACACAGGGGGCCTGCCTATTTATTTATTAATTGTCTGTCCTCCCTGTGGCTAAGAATTTGGTTTATCTTGTTCATTCCTTATTCTCAGTGATGAAAACAGTGTCTGGCATACAACAGTTACTCAGTACAGTAGTACTGAATGAAATAATTAGTGTTTCTCAGATATTTAAAAGAATAGTTAAGATGCCCAGAGGTAAGTGGAGTTCACAAGAACATGTGGTAATCATAAAATATTTTAAAAAGTAAAAATGTGTCTTACATAGCAGACATGAACTAAACAATGGACAGTACATATAAGATTTTTAAAAATTCAGAGGAAGAAAATACTTGCTTTATGAACAAACTCTGAAAGAAAAATATAAGCATTTAGACCAAAAGTCAAGATTACCTTCTAACTTTTTAAGAATGGTTTAGTTTAAAGTAAACTGTAGATTATTACAGCATCATACCAAAAAACATCTTTCCTTTCCCTTTCTCTCCATTTGTTTTCAAAGTGACCTTCTCTCCTCTTACCACTCTCTCTGAATATATAATATATATAATGGTTGTATTCTGCCACATCTTGGAGATTACTGTTCTGGACAATTTCACCATGTAGAATTCAGATTACCTTTTTATTTACAGAATGGTTTTTTATTATAATTTTAATTATCAGTTCTCTTCCACATTTTGTTCTTCTTCTTCAGGGACTTCAATTAGTCACATGATGGCTCTTCTTTGTCTTTCTTCCATTTCAACCACTTTCTCTCTGACCCTTTGTAGTTGTTTCTTTATGTCATTGACATTCTCATCATTGTTCACTGGCCTTGCTCAATGGTACTTATTAAACGTTTTTTCAGGTCTATTCTTCCTTTGGTATCTTGTAATTTAGTCTGTATTTCTAAAACTAATAAAGTCTACCACTTCATTCTCTTTCTTTCCTAAGTTCAATCAGCTTCAATTTCATTTCCTCTTGTTTTGTTTCATTTTTTCATTTCTAACCTTAGTTTCTGAATTTGTGATTCAAGGTGCTTTTCATACCCCAATAGTTGTTAGGAGACATTTAACTCAGATTACGGTGTTGTGTTAGCATTTTCTTCTGCTTCATAGTTGCATTTCAAAGAGGAATCTCCACCAACTGAAATGTTTTGATTCTTTATTCCATTTTGATCTTGCAGGAGTTTCATATAAATGAAGACTGATTACATCCAGCCCTTTCTTAGACAAGACTGACAGTATGAGCCAGTTTACAAGATCTCTAGTTCAAGAGCACCCTCTGATGTGCTGGTTTCTTTAAAGTGGCTTTGGGGATGGGGACAGGGGAGAATATACATTTCCTTCCATTTTCAGTTTTATTTCATCTTGTGGTATTCTAGATCTCCCCACTTCACTTATTTTCCCTTCACCAACAAGACTCCAAAGGGTGCCCCTCCCTTTGGAGCAGCATTTTCCCCCCACGCTGCTACCTGTGCATTGTTAAGTCCCTTCCTCTTTACTCAGGTAGTGTTCCTGCATCTACCTGATTCTCTGTCTCCATGTTCACACTCAGGATAGACTTTCTTTTTCTGAGCATGATTTTCACAGAATCCCCTCGTGTCCCTTTCACACAATTTTTTTCCAGAAACCCCGAATTGTCCACAAAGATTTACAGTGAAAACTCATGCAACGGCTCTATTGAAAAATGATGTTACTTTTCTACATACAGAAACCAAAGTTTATACTATCCTCTGCCTTCCAGTTCTGCTGTAGGTGAGGTATTTATGTGGTTTAATTTGTTTCTTTTTGGTCATACAATAGAAGATGTAGAAGGAACTGAGATTTAGACAGTGGCAATTAATTACTTCAGATACCTGGATGTTCCTCATTTATAATTCCTAACCAGACTTATGTCTGAAATTAGATTTCCAGTTTTACTCTTTAAATCTTGCAATGGAATTTGCAGTGGATACATTGTGTCCCACCTATCTCTCCTCTCCAGAGCTGTGTCTCTTCCCCCAGGGGTTGCAAATCATGGCTGTGACTTCACACAGCTGTCATTAAGAGTGACCCTTCCCCAAAGGGAACTGCCCTACTCAACACATGCCCTTCGTGACACAGCCAGCAGTCAACAGCTGGCTGATGCAAGGATCTGAAACTCAGCCCTTGAATTAATTTGTGACCATCAAAGGGCCATCCTACCTCCAGAGAGCTCCCTATAGGATCAGCGGAGGTCTCAGTTGCACCTGAATTGTGGATCCCGTCTGCCCAGTCCCATCATCCTCACTTCCTCCCAGGTGTATACCCTGAATGTTCCCTGCCAATATACCTTCTGCAAACAATTCTCTACCTCAGAGGCATCCAACATAAAGACAATCACCATCAAAATTTTATTGCATTATGAGCAGGGACTGTTGCAGATACTCTGAATATATTGTATGCATTCATTTAATTCTCACTGGGAAACTGTGAGGAAGATACTAGTCTTAGCATCTTTGTATCTCATATGAGAAAAGGAACTCTTAGAGAAGGTAAATACATCACCTAAGTTAATAAATGGTAACGGCAGGACTTGAACACAGGCACTCCGACTTGAAAGCCCATTCCTACCCACTTCGCTGCGTCCCACACTGGCTTTGCCTTCACTGTTTTTCTAGTATGACCCTTAATGGACCCGTTCTTGGCATTTTTCTAAACCCTGCTATACACCATAGCTAGCATATGCCACACACCAGAATGATCACAAACACTAAGATGTTTTTATTTTTAACATATAATATTTTTCCTAGTGGACTGACCATATGTTAATTGCTAAAGATGGAACTTATTAACCTTATCAATTTATCTCTCAAAGTTTCAGCATGAGGAACAAAGAAGCATGTTTTCAAATCTAGCATATTATCACTCACTCCTACCATTCGATTGTTTTTTATTTGTACAGGTGTATTATTAGATACACGTTAACAACCACTTCTCTCTGTATGTTTGGTTTTATATCTCGCTTCCAAACTGTATCAGAAAGAATATAACTCTTCTCAAAATTTCTTACCTCCATCTTGAAATTTGCTTAATCTTTCAAAATAGGATGACATGGGGACCTGGACAATATCGAGGATGGCCAGAAGCGTTCTCGTCAGCCTTAATAATTCACTGAAACTGTAAAATCCAAAGTATATGAGATTCCGAGCTAAGTGGACCACCTTAATAACAAAATGGGGTAAGGGAGAAAAACAAACATAAGGAACTAAAATTAGCATTGACTTTTTATTATCTAAATTAATGCAGATATTTCTAAACATTCTAATTCTTAACAACTAGGAATTTAAATAGTGCAAAAGTAACTGATTTATTCAAGTTTAGAATTAAATCCAAATAAGACCAGTCCATCAACCCCATCAAAGTTCAACATGATGAGATGAGGTGTCCACCAAGGAAGCAAGAAGACAAGATTTCAGGTATATAAAGGTAAGTTAAAGAAGTCTACATTAGAACGGTTTACCTCTTAATTAAATGTTAACTCATGTAAGTCAGTAAGATACCACTTAATAAATGGTTACGTTAATGAATTACTTTAATAAATGGATGTTATTCATGAAATTTGTCCAGAAATATATATTCCCTATTCTGGCTTTGTGGTCTTCCAGATACTATAAGACACGCTAGGTGTGAAAGCTACTTCCAAGTCGGCCCCCATTGTATGGTCCCCTTCCACACTGTGTCAGGGTTATCTGTGTGACAAACAAAACAGGGCAGATGGGACAGCATGCCACTTTTAAGATTAGGTCATAGAAGACTGCAACTTCCACATTGGGCTCTCTCTCTCTTCCCCAGCGGAAGGCAGCTGTTGTGCCACATGGACACCCTCAGCCTATGAAGATTTCAACTCCAAGAGATATGGCACCACATCCCCTCCTGCCCCCCCTTCCTCACGTAGGTCATGAACAGACCCCAAAGCTAAGCCCTTTCAGATTCCTGACCCACGGAAACTCTTAAGTACTAAATGTTTGTTGCTTTGGGCTGCTAAGATTGGGGTCATTTGTTATATTACCGCAGGTACCAGGTAACAGCAGCATCTTCTCTACAATTTTGTCACTATATCTCCAAAATGATATTATAACAAGAGATATTTCAATTCAGTTTCATGAGGCTAGACACATCACCTCCATGGATATGGAAAAATGTATCCAAACATACAATAAATATGCATTAAATGCAACAAAGCTTACACAAATAGAACGAAACTCAAAAACATTAAGGAAAACAGTAGCTTACTACAAATAAAATATTTTGCTTTGGACATCTAGCATAATAAAAGCATCCGATCTATGTTTTAATCAGTAGCACAGGGAATCATATCTTCATGAACGAAATATCCAATTACCAAAGCATCTTAAATATTATAGAGAAAAAAATCTTTACATTCGATGTATCTCATTTTTGACAGGAAAAATTGAGGAACTTTGCAAATGAATTGTTTTTCGAAATACCTCAAAGGTCAGTTTGTTTTTTTCTTTATCTCCAAAAGGAAAGGGCTGATTTACAACTTCTTTCAAGTATTCCTCAACGAATTCCATGGTCAGTGCAAATTTCCTCTTCATGTCATTTCTGGAACAGTCTGTTATAGAATCATATCTGCAAAGACAGAATATAAAGCAAGTTAAATTGATTGCCATCATTTAAAAATAGGAAAGTATACATACTTTAACTTCCTGGCTTCTTAAGCTGGGGCAAAATAATTAACCTTTGTAGATGCTGTGCCCTCATCTGTAAAATGAGGCTATTGTGACAAAAGGTAACACATGTAAAGCACTTATCTGAGCATATACCACAACATTAAGCATTTAACAAATCGGTATGCCCACTATTAATATGATTTCTGTTCACTGGTTTCCAGGATGATGTTTCTATTATCCAGGGTTGTCATTTTACACTCCAAAAAGAGTATTTTTATGTGCACCTGGATGACAACCACCTGAGTTTGAACACAGAAGTGCCTTTTTTATGTATTTTATTTCAAAATTGATGTCATTTGATTTTTTTTATTTCATCTACGGAATGAAAAGTCTTTGAGGAATTTTTCCAAACATACTCGTGAATCGTGATCTTTGTGGGGATCTCCGTCCAGAGCCTGGCGTAGCGAACAGGCACCACGGACTCCTGGGGGTCCCGGTCCACATGCATGTGCAGCATGAGGCGGCAAAACGACGCTCGGAGGTCGAACGGCAGGCTCTCGTCCGACATGCACCGCAGGATCAAATCCACAGACAGCTGTGTCGAAATCTGGTTGATGGCCAGATACTGGCGATCCAAGCACATCCTTGCAAAGAGGTTGAGCTGGTACCTTAAACATTTCAAACGTATATTATTTGTCTTATCTTGATAAAGTTCCTAAATATCACAGGATGAGCCAGTATCTACCTTCATGACACCAATATTACTAAAAGTATTGGAGTCAAACTCTGTTGGGGGTAAGTTAAGTAATTACATCATACAAATGAAATCGTTTCTATGTCCGTTCAGTTGCAATTTCCCTTACGGGTCCTGGCAAATGTGTCTGGTGGAGAACCACTGGAATCTTTGTTCTAGGTTTCCTAGGATCACGAATACACTGAGGACCATGGGTTACAGCTCACCCAAAGCCATCCCTCCCCACTTCCCCTTGTCCACTCAGCTCTGGGCTCCAGAATCTACACTCTAAGTTTAGATCCACTGAATTCCCAAACCAAATGTGATCAACCCACATGGCATCAGTACACTTGGATGCATCAGCCTCTGAGATCAAGAATTAGCCTTTGGCTTTGCTGCTGGAGCAGTGGAAACCAGGGAACAGGAGGCTTTCTCTGCCTTTCTCAGATTCCTGTCATTTGGGCCCAACCTGGCCCAAGGACATCTGTCTTAGTTGTCATCCCAGAAGTTTAAAGATGCCAGCAAGATTCTTGCTCATGACACACTGACCACCAGAAACTACCACCAGAATTTCCGCTGCCACATGCCACTGCTGGACTTTTGTAACCACAGACACCAGCTTCTCTTAAGCCCTAGGTCTCTACCTATTTATAAGCACTATATACTTGGCTAACCCTTTCTGAGGCCATGTCTGCATCAGCTTCTCTGGCTCAAGTTCTAGCTTCCTCTGAACTCCATTACTTAGATCCTCATCAGCACCCACTACAATCAGTAATAGAAAAAAAAAAAACCTTTGCTGCACAACAGCCCCAACAATCCAAATGCCTGGGAAACCAGAAAATTGCAAGAGGTATATATGGAAAGACAGGCATTAACTTTATTCTTAATACTTTAAATAATATTAAATATTTTAGCTACCCTAGTAGTGACTACTTTATTTTTATTTTAATCCTCACCCAAGGATTTGTTTCACTGATTTTAGAAGGAGAAAGAGAAACATCGATATGAGAAACATCAATCAGTTGCCTCCCACAACACGCCCCGACCAGGGATCAAACCCACAATGACTTTTTAAATTTCTCTCTCATGGATACCTGATTTTTTACAGGTTTCAGAGACTCTTTCAATGAACACGTGAGACTGAGAATGACGATTCTCTACAATACCTCACCTGTAATAGGTCAGAACTTCTAAATCGGCTTTGGTGCCTTCTTTGGCTTCTTGAGCAAGGTGCCTGATAGCTTTGCCATGAGGCTCCTTGTTGCTGTCAATCCAGTAGAGCCAAACCTCCTCATCATCAATGTCGTCTGCAAGGATGGCGCTCTCTATGGGGTTGTCCATTTGCATTGAGACTAGCCTTGAGATTAATAACACGTACAAACGCTATTAAGAAGCTCACTAATGTGATAAAGCACTATAATGTCTACAAACAATGGACAGAAAAAGACACCTCCATTATCCGGACTTACTTCGTTTGAATGAGAATGTCTGCATTGCCTGGGCTCAACATGAATTTACAGATGAGTTCTTGAGTTACAGGTATAGCGGTGGTATTGGACACACACAGATCTGATAAGTAATCCAAGAATCTGGCAAAAAAAATTAAATCAGAGATTAAGAAGAGGCACTTCATAAGATCATAATAAAAATAAATTTGGGGATATAGCAAAAATAACTTTTAAGATATATTTTAACTATTATATCCATAAAACATTTTTCTGATGTGTTACTTATCTACTACCTCATTAGAAACAAACATCAAATGATTTGTATGTAATACAAATATTATTTCAGAAAAGGATATGAGCTCACTTCTGTTTACTTGGTGATCTTCATCCCGCCGCACACTGACTTACTGTGTTTAGAAAATCGCATGTCTGCCCGAGAGTCAGACAGCCCCAGAGCAGGGTATCAAAACAAAAGCCGATCAAAGCTAATGCCATACTGAGAAAAAGAATATGGCACACACTTAATCAAAGTAGAGTCAGGGGGCATTGGTACATTCCAACATTTATTTGCTATGCTAATTAGTTAAGAAAACTTTACCAATCTGCTTGACTTATCTGCATTTATTTCTCCCAGGTAAGGCAGCATGGTGCAATAGAAAGAGAACTTGATGTGGAATCAGAACCTCTATTCTAGTTCTTACTATTGGGCCATTCTTGAGCAAATTGTTCTTTTGTCTTCTTTTTCCTCATCTCTATATTATCACCTCACTGGTGATACACCTCACTATATTATATTACACTGGTGATAATAACGTATAACCAGTATACTCTGTGAGAACATACAAGTATTTAAATGAGACAAGGAATATATTTTGAAAAATTATAAAGTAGTATAAATAATATTATAGTAAAAATCAATTACATTTAAATATGTTGAGAAAGGGTTTTGGTCTCCTATAAGGTAATAAGTCTTTATCATACATAATTAGTACAGCAATAAGCCCCATCTAGCTTTGTCCATGAAGGGAATATAAAAGAATTTTAACTTTAAAAAGTTCTAAGATAAAAGCAAAAAGCCGCCATCTGCCCCCCTAGAAAATACTGCATAAACCACTTCAAACCTTGGCTCACGGTTTCTCCTGAGTAAACTGACAAATGTTTCTATTTCTTTTGCTGTGATATGTTTCTCTAGTAGTTTTCTGTTGTTGTGTAACAAAGCTGTGATGGTATCTTCTGCCAAAATATCATAGCCAATCTGGGACTGCATGACACAGAAATTCTTAGCAATATATTCCTGCAAAAAAAAAAAAAAAAAAAAAAAGCTGTCAGACGCACCGCCAAATGGCTCAGAAATAACAGGTTTCATTATGGTCAGCAGCACTGACTGAATTATTCATAGCAGAAACCTCACTGAAGATCACGGTCCAAGGAGCATGAGTAAATAATTCTTTAATAAATAGGACTTTTTGAGGAAGGAAGCAAAAATATTAGCATATACCTAATTTACAATACATCTTAATACAAAAATAATACCTAGAAGTATTTTTTAATATAGGTGCTTATACCTTCGAACTGTAAGTGGTCAAAACAAAAATAAACCAAGTTAAAGAATCATATCCATGGCATGGTAACTGGGGATTTCACCATCCTAACAGAGGTCCTTCTTGTAGCTTTCAATGAAAGTCATAACCGATGATTTTCACATGATCATGGAAAGAAAATCACTCTGTGATATTTCTTTTATGAGGCATGAGATGTATATTGCTACACAAAGATCCCAGGTGAACTTAGGGGATTTCTTTTTTGTACAATAGACCGCAATGATCTATTAAATCTTCTCTTTAAAATAATGATAAGATTTCATACCACCTTTACCTTTAAAAGCTATCAAACAAGATAATATGATTAACCACTTAATTGACCAGATCCCTTCATCTAATAAATACCCGTATTTTGCCATGTACATTGTGAGCTTTTTTGCCCAAAGTTTTGAAGGAAAAATAAGGATGTGTATTATACATGGGTAGTACTAATTCTGTATCTATGTTTTTAATTTTTTTATTTATGCTTATGCAATAAATGTGTAACTCTAGAAAGCAATGATATCCATATGCAAAATGATACAGTAATATGTTTTGTTTTTAAATCTAAATTAAAAATTGAATTCAAAAATTAAAATGGAAGATTTTTTTTCCTGAAAGTTTGGACCAAAAACATGGATATGTATTGTACACAGGAGCACATTATACACAGCAAAATACAGTATTTCTTGAACACCTACGACATTCCAGGCACTAGGTATATGGCAGTAAACAAGACAGGCTTTCATACAGCTTTCATCTAGTGAGAAAAAGAGGTGTGTAAATGAGCTAATCAATAAGATCATTTTACATGTTGATAAGTAAAATGAAACAAACAAAGGTATGGAGAAGGATAGCAACTTTAGATGGAGTAGACACTAAGGAAGTGACATTTGAGCTAGGACAGAAATGATTAAAATGCTGAAATGATAAAAATCATAAAAAGGAGGCAGCATGCAAAGAGAAGCCACCTAGGTGGTGGGAGTAGCAGGTGCAAAGGCCCTGTGGTAGCGAAGCCAAGCTTTTCATGATCTATAAACAAAACATGACCACTGTAGCTAGGGCGTAGGAAGTGAGAAGAAAACAGGAGCTGAGGTTGGAGAGGCAGTCACTTGCAAGCCGTGGGAAAGGGCAAGATAAAGTCATTAGAGAGTGCCCATCATGTATTATTAAATGTGCCTCTTATCCTTCCTACATTCCAAGCCACTACTGCTCACTTCTCACATTCTGTGTGCAAGCAAGACACCTCACATAACCACAGTACCGCTAAGCCTACCCCCTAACAGAGTCAAAATGTTTTCCCTTCAGCTTCTTGGGTGTTTTCCTCAGGGATGCATCTCTGTATCTTTGTTGGGAGAATTTATTCATCAGACAGTGTTTTTGCCCTTTTTTTAAACTGAAGTCTATTTATTCCTTGTAAATGATATTGGTTGCACAAATATAATTATAGTCAAGGCAGCAATTATGCAGCCTTTCAAAATAATAGCTTTATGTGGATAGCCAATTAAATGAAGGAACTGTCTTCCATTAGTACATCATTTTAAAGATACATATTGATTAACATACTTTTATGACTATTGTAATTATACTGCAGTGTAAGGCAAACCTCCCAGATGTTTGATAAATAGATCAAGATGTTGACAAATAATCAAAAGAAAGTAGAGATGCTGCCAAACTCTATAAATCATAATAGAGACTCAATATGAAAGACTTGGGTTTGCGTTTAATCAGAAAAGAACTCCCTACTAAGACTCTACAAAATATAGATGTGGACAAAGAAAAACAAAGTAGTAATGCAAAAAGTAGAAAGTAATTCTGCTTACATTTTAGAAAGCATGCTCTAAAAATATCATTACAAAGCTGCTCTATGTTTAATACAGAGCATTTTTAATTCGACAGAAATGAGAAAAAATATTTCTCAAACACTGCTGAGACTGAACTGGAACATGAACGAAAATGTGAGGGAAAACAAAACCTGACCCTCAGGGAATGTTATGAATTGTCTTCTTTTGTCAACTCAATGATCTACATCTCGAGGAGACATCCCTAAAGAGAGAAAGGGTGGTCCACCCACAGTCATATTCTCTAAGGAAACCTGAAAGCACATCCCCCTAAGTGACTACATAGTTCCCTGGAGAAGTGTACACCTAGCAGAGTGAACTGAGAACAAAGGAGACAAGAAATTGTAAGAGCAAGTGTGCGTGAGTGTGTGTGTTTCTACTTGTCACAAGGATCAATATTTTCAGAGGGGAAACTGCACATGCCCAGCACACTGAGCTCAGAGTCCCTGCTGAGATGGAGAGGACTGAGAAAGACCTCTGTGTGCCACACCCTGAAAGACTGGGAAAGGACGCCAGTTAAGATGTGCTGCCCAGGACACCTGCGAGGGACTGGAAGAACAACCAAACCCAAGGAGACTGGCACTGAAGCACAGGGCAGTACTGTAAAAATGGGGCCCTCAGGTCCCTTCCAAGGGCTGAGCCACAATCAAAGATGGTGCCCCTGTGGGCCCACAGGACTGAGAGAGGCAGGTAAGCTCTGCAGACCTATTAATTCTTTTCAGTCAATTCCATCTCTCTAATAACGAGATGCTTGTATGTGTGAGTGACGGCCTGTCTAGCAAAGTATATGTTTATAGACCCAAGAAGAGGCCAAGTGGAATACACTGAGCAATCTCTACCCCCTGCCCCCATCCCAGGTCTCCACAGAATAACACAGACCCTCATACCGGGGGCTTCTGAGGCACCGATTTTCTAAAGGTCTGTCATTTAATGTTCTGGAACTTAATTTTCTCCAATAAAATAAAAAACACTCTTTATCTTGACATGTTAAAGGAATACAGTGAAGCTGTATTATTGGGAAAAATAATTCCAATGGCAGCATTTTCACTTGGGAAGAAGGATGTTTATAACTAGGATTATACTAAAAATATGTAAGGGTTTGTCTATATAGTCCCCTTTCTCACTCTTGCTTACCATATCATTTATCTCCTGACTAATCTGTTCTACATATTCTTTTTAGACCTTTTCTTAATCTTTAAACAGAATTTCAAAGCCACTGTATTTTAACACATTTTTCTTAAAGTAAATTTTTTTTCTTGCCAAAAATCTTTCAAATTACTAGGAGAGAAATGCTATGATGAGCAAAAGCCTGGGTTTGAATACTGTCTCCAGTTTTAAAACTGTATCATGTTCGGCAAGTTACTTAAACTCTTTGTGCTTCAGTTCCTCATCTTAACTCCATGTTAACTGAGTGAACTTGTGAAGTGTAGTGGTGTACAGTGCTAAGAGTTGAGCCAGGTACAAAATAAGCACTCTGTACATGCCACCAACCATCCAATAACCCCCCACTTCCAGGCATGACACCCTAGGCCCTTACGTGGCTTAGCCCAACCCGCCTCTCTGCTCTCTCTCACACCATCTTTTCTCATAGACTGAAGTCACCAGCAGAATTTAGTAATTATGCACTCATTTCTCAAAATCAGCTAAAAGAAAAATAGGACACTAAGTTACCTAATAATAATTTAAACAATTTTATATTAAACAAACATGCCTATTATTGAACACAAAATGTTATGTAATTTTAGGATGAAAATGAGACAAGAGAAATTTCACTTGCAGTTGACAACGTTTAGCTGGATCACTAGGTACACCTGGCTTCCTGTTCTCCGCAGTCAGGAATGCCTCTGGACAAAAGCGCCCTTGCTAACCAGCAACCATCATCCTTTCTCCTTAGCATCTTCGCTAAAACGCCTGTTCCTGTAAAATTTATGGACGTGATTCTCATCCGACTCAAATGCGTTCTTCTCCAAGCAACCTTCCTGGGCTCCCGCAGCCCGAGAGCTGAGCTCTCTCTCTTCTACACTCCCAAAGTGCTGTCTTCTATCTCTCAGGTCCCCTCGTTGTCCTGCCCTTGTGTTTCCGAAGCTCAAGTCCTGCCTTTTCCATAAGAGAGTAAACTCTTTGGCCTTTACTTGATCATGTGATGTCCCACATGCCCCTAGAAGTGCCAAGAAATGTCTCAGTCCTCTTTACATACTGTCCCCTGCATGCCTCCTGCCCAGCAGGAGCTAATACCATGCACACAGAAGGATTCAGACATCTTTCCCCGGTGATTCTAATTTTACATGGAAGAATAAATATAGGTCAGCTCAAAAATACTTCCAGGTCATTTTTGTGTGTTGCCAATATAAAACATTTTACGGCACAGGGCCAATTACCCATTCCTTTTTTACGTGATCTAGAACAGTAGCCAAAGAACCTTGCCCATACTTTAAGTGTGACACAGAGGTCAAGAGAAGGGGCCGCCCCCAACCTGATTTTTCCGGTAGTCCTGCTGCGAGTGCCTCAGCACGCGGTAGCACAGCCTCAGCATGTATTTGTAGGGGGCATATCTTTGGTCCCCCAGATCTTCAAGTCTCAGCATGGGGCCTTCTCCTGCTTTCTCCTTAAAGGGCGCTTTAAGAATCCCAAATATCTGTTAGGGAAAAAAAAAAAAACAATGCCTATTCTGATGAATGGAGGTGCACGTTTTGCCATCTGTTTTAATTTTTTTAAATACATAACATTTACTCAAAAACACTTTCAAAATATTAATGTAAAGGATGAAATAAATTTAGGATTCAGGACCAACACATTAAGGAACATGACAAGAGAACTCCCAAAATTGACAAAAACATTATTTAAATAAAACCTTAATTTTGTTTAGAAATTATATTTTATTAAAATAAAAAATATAAACATGTTAGGTTATACCATATTACATCAAAATATTCAGATAAACCAAAACACAGTTTGATTACTATAGGCTTTACAGTTACATCTATTTTATGATTTTCTAAAATCAAAATAATATTTTTAAAGTTGATTTTTATCTGAGGCTAACTTCAGAAAATTGCCTCCAAATATTGCTTCTAAACCTCTTTATAAAATAGTTAATTTATTGTTCTTGATATATAAAGACTTGCCCAAACCAATGAATGGATCAGCATTCGAACGTAAGGAATAAGGACCCACATGGGCAGCTGGTGGTACCCAGTAATCTAGACTCTTCTTCTAAGGTTACTGGTTGGGAAGTATTTAAAGAGTATTGAGGAAAATAACTCTTTTAGGCAGCAAGGCAGCAGGTAGGATCACCTGGAGATGTGCTGGCAGAATGAGTAAATACCTATTAAAAAGCACCCAGGCAAGGGCATGCGCATTAACACAAAGAAGCAAAGTGAAAAGGAAGCATCCCTGTAGTTTATGAAATGTAATACAAATTAAAATTCCTCCAATAATTCTATACTCACTAAACCTTGAATTTTATTTTTATAATACTGAAATAAAGTTATGACATGTTGGTTAAAATAATAAATTACTCAAGTTCCTAATAATAAATTACTCAAAGTTCTTGAAATAAAATGCTTTATACACATGCACAAAAAAAAGCTAACGTCAGAAAAGACTTTGTCTCATTAGATTTGCAACCTTTATTTTCTTTGAGAAAAATGTTGTTTCATATTTTCAGAAAACCAGCTACAGAATATTAATTGACAATATGTCAACTGTTTGCCTTACCAAACTTCACAAATAGTACATGTATATTAACATGATTCTATTTAAGTATGTTCTTGAGTCCACACTGAATGAATGCAGAAGCCCATTAGCTTATATAGCAATTAACAGAACAAAAAGAATACATCAAATCAGGCACGTTAATATGTACCTATTACTAGGAAGTAAGTTACTAGTGTATTCTAAACAATTTCAGAAAGACATAGTATCAGTACAGTGACAGACTTCTGGGGTAAAAAACTACAGTATTATATTGAGCACTTGTGAGCTGATGAATAGACTAATCTACTTTCCTATGAAGAGAGAGATAGAAGTTGGACGCAAATAAAAATGGCAGTTTCCAAGTTATCCTGGAAATCCTACATAGAAAATTATACCAGCACATTTGACCATGGAGGTAGTCTGACCATGTAAGTCTCTTCAGAAATCTGTGGTAGGCTGTCTCCGAGACAGCCCCCAGTGACGCCTGACTCCAGGAATTCATACCCTTATGTAACTGTCTACTTGACTATGGGCTGGAATTGATGGGATGTTACTTTTAGGATTAGGTTATAAAAAGACGGTGGCTTCCATCTGCACGCTCTCTCTTAATCTCTGCTGGGCCACTCAATTCTACAGAGGACAAACTGTTGGCTCTTGAGTCAGCCTTCTGGGGAGGCCCATGTAAGTGGACTGCGAAGTGACCCCCTCCCATTCAAGACTCGAGGGGACTGCAACCCTGGCCACACCTTGACTGCAGCCTGAGAAAACACTGTGAGCAACGGCTGCCCACCTAAGCCACTCCTGGATTCCTAATCCCCCTAAGATGTGGGGTAACTTGTTACACAGCAATAAATAAATAAATTGATTGATTGATTTAAAAACTACTGTATAATTCAAAAAATAAATTATGCAAGTTTAGTACATGAAAACATTCACCTGTGCCAATATGTTTTGTTCCCTCATTAATTTTTGACGTTCTCGGTTTGGCTTAGTGATAACCACATCCAGAACTTCTTGTCCATTATTAAGTACGTCAGCAACAAAAAAGATGAGGTCTTCCAATAATTTGGTTACAAACCTATTGCAAAATGAAAAGAAAATTTTACTCTGTGGTGTTAATTTTTTGGGGAAAAGTGAATAAACACTAAGAACTGAAACAATATAAAACAAAGTATTTTATAATAAAAATTATTTAATCAAGAAAACATTTAATGTATTAAGTGTTACCTAAATCTTTAAAAGAACATCCCCTCTCCAGTTCCTCCAATCTTCCCTCCCATGTCCCGCTCCAATCAAGCATTTGTAATGACTGTTATGAAGTAAAGCCCATGGACCCCAAGGACAGAGCGGCCAATAGGAGAACACTATTGGGTGCTTGTCCATGAGTGACCAGCAGTCAAGGACAGTTCTGCTTAAGGGAGAATAGCCATGTTTGTAAATTCCTAAAATGAAATCACTTTTTTTACTATTGACTCAAACTACATCTCATGATCCTCACTACATTTCAATTTCTCCAATACATAGAATAGGAAAAGCTGAGATGATCTGTGAATAGAGACAGACTAAGTCATCAAACTAAAAAATCAGAAGGCCAGTTTGTCACCAACATGAAGCAAGTAACAGAACAATATTAGAATAACTTTCTTTTAAAAAGTGTGTTTTCAATCCTTAAAGCAATAATTATATGCAGAAAAGACAACATATATAATAAAGTGCAAATGTGAATAAAGAATAGGAAGATATGCAAAAGAACCATTAGCACTAAAGTTATAATCATTTAAATAAAAATCTAATTCATGAAGATAAACTATTCCTACACATTTAAGAAAAATCAGTGATTTATAACACAGTATCAAAAAATTATCCGTAATTTTAATAATATAATAATATACATGAATAATGTAAATGTATTCAACTGTGCCATAAGCTCCACTGTACTGACAGGCAGCTTTGACTGAACTTTGATGGAGGGTGGCTTTTTCTGAAATTACTAAATTAAGATCAATAATTGCAACTTCATATGTTGCAGCACTGAGTTTTTAAAAGACAGTTAAGAGACAGGAGGATGAACTAAGAGGCTCCAACAGGCATCTAATAGTGTAACAGTAGGGAATTATAACCCACCCAACATCCTTTTAACACTGTTTCTGTAAATGCTGACTCTGACTGATATGTAGCTTGTAGATAAACCCCTTGGTTCTATAAGAATCATAAGAACTAACTTCAAAAGATACCAGCTTGGACCTTCAGTCATCCCAGCTCTGGGAGATTTGCTGACCTGCTACTGTAAAACCAGGATGACACACACCAGACCATCGCTGGACCAGTGTCAAGGTCCTTAGGAGAACGGACTGCATTCATCTGCATGTAGAGAACTTCTCAACCTGCTCCCCTTGATCTCTTTGTCCTGCTTTGCCCCTCCCTCTCATAAAACCCTCTGCCTGTGCTGAGATGTTGAGATGGTTTTTGAGGCACGAGCTCCTCAGGCTGCATGCACCTGAATAAACCACTTTCCTTCTCTCCAGCACCCTTCTCCTGAGTCCGGTTTTCCTGGCAGCAGGCATTCAAGCCTGCAGGTCATTAGGTGCCGGTCAGTAAATGAATGGATCAAAAAAATGTGGTATATATACACAATGGAATTCTATGCAGCAGAGAGAAAGAAGGAGCTACTACCCTTTGCAACAACATGGATGGAACTGGAAAGCATTATGTTGAGTGAAATAAGCCAGGGGTTGAAAGACAAATACCATATGATCTCACCTTTAACAGGAAACTAAACAACAAAACAGACAAACAAGCAAAATAAAAACAAATACACTGAAATAGAGAACAGGGGGACAGCGACCAGAGGGGAGAGGGGAGGGAATTTAAGGGGAAAAAATGGGAGGGATTTAGAGGAACAAGTATAAAGGACACAGGGACAATAACTAAGGGGGGTAGAAATGGGAGGGAGGTGGGGTGCACGGGGGAGGGGTGGGCTGGGATGGGAGAAATAAACAGAAAGCTGTACTTGAAAAATAGCTAAACAAAAATTATTTTAAAAAAGAGAGATGAGAAGAAAAGACAAAGAAGCAACATTTGAATTAAAATGGCCGAATTTTTCAGAATTGATGGAAGACATAATATTCAGATTAAAAGCATTCCCTAAGTGTCATGGGACAAGCAAAAATAAAACTCTTACAACAAAGAAACACAGATACCCTCCTTCTATTTTCCCTCTTAGGGCAGCTGTGCAGAGTAAGATCAGAAAATCCCACTGAAAAATATCCAAGGTTGAGGATCTGGGAGCTTAACACAGGAGCTGTGCCTCCAAGGTCCATTCCTGGGGTGAGGGGGGGGAGGTAGTTAGGAGAGAGAGAACTGGAACAGCACAGGCATTCTGACACCAATCTATAATATTCTAACACCTTCCCTTTGACCCTGTATCATTCTTCCTCCACTTAAAAGAATATCTAACAATAACTTCATTCTCCAGACAAAGGAAAAGTCAGAGTTGTGAGGTATTTTCAGAAAGAATTTTACACTGAATTCTAAAATCGAGGAAATAATATAAATGTATTCAACTGTGCCATAAGCTCCACTGTACTGACAGGCAGCTTCGACTGAACTTTGATGGAGGGTGGCTTTTTCTGAAATTACTAAATTAAGATCAATAATTGTAACTTCATATGTCTCAGGCAAGACCTTCTCTTTGCTATGATGTTTTTGCTCTAAAACAGTTGTGGGGGAGCACAGGAAGTAAAAATGCATAATCCCAGATCAGTCCTGGCCCTCCGCCTTGCTTAGAATTTTCAGGAGAGGTTAATTTAAGATTCTCTCCAGTAGTAACTGAAGAGCAGCGGCTTTCCAGGGCTACAGCCGGCACAGGTGGAGCACTCGTACTTGGTTTTTTTCCTTCAAGAAACACTGATGCTTAAGAAGAAGGACTCTTCTAGTGAGGCTGAGTAAAATTCTGTGCATATGTGAGAGTGACAGAGACTAAAAAACAGATTCATCAAAAGGAAGCACTCACAGATAAGAAGCAAATGAAAAGTGCCATGTGCACACTGGATTCCAGTACTGGTCATGATTCAGCTCTGGTGCTTAGTTATCGGTAGAGGAGCGGAGCGGTTGTTTCCTCCGCTGGCCTTCACTCACCACCCCCAACAGGAGTGCGGGTACGATTGAATACACACCTAGCTGTTTTCTAATGCAGGTTTGTTAGGGGGGAAATGGGTAAGAACAGAGGAAGCTGAGAAGCAGCTGCTCCATTTTTTTTTTTTTTTGCATATTTAGGATGTTCTAATTGGTAGGGGTAGGAGGAATCAAGGTGGACCACTTTTCTCTTTGCATTGTAAGATGTACTTCTAACTGTCCATAAAACTTACATGTTTGGTTACAGAATACTTACAATGCAAACCCCATAAAACCACCACCTAGAACAAGATGTGGAACATTCTCTAAAGTGATAACCGTCCTGACTTTGGTGACAATTATTTCCTTGCATGTCTCAATTGTTTAAGCAGCCCAAATAAGAGTTTAGTTTTGCTTCTTTAAAACTTTACAAACAATAGTACAGTGAATGAATGTGTCTAGTTCCCACTCAATCCAAAGTTTATTAGGTTTATCCATGTTGCCATACGTAGATGCATTTCATTTATTTTCCTTGCTATGCTGTGTTCCATTGTATGAATACACCAAAGTGGCATTCACTTGTTCAGCTGGTGATGGGCGGTGGGACGGGTCTCAGTTTATGCTTATTGAGAATAAGGTTGAATATTCTTCAACATGTGTTCTGGTGCACATGTGTGAGAGCATCTTTTGGATAGATGTTCAAAAGCATTAGGCCTACAAGTGGAAGTGGTGAATCATAAAATGTTCGCTTCTTTTTTTGTGCAAGTGTATGTGTGGTAATAAATGAGACCTACCTTCTTATAAATTTTTAAGCGTGCAATACAGTATTGTTAACTATAGGCACAATATTATACAGTAAATCTCTAGAACTTATTAATCTTGTAAAAATGAAACTTTATACCCATTAAATAGCAATGCCTAATCTCACCCCCACCCCCGCTCTCCTCACCTCACCCCCAGCCCCTGGCAACCATCATTCTACCCTGTGTTTCTATGAGACAGACTATTTTGCAGCATTACTTACAATAACTAAGATTGGAAAACAATCTAAATGGATGGATGAATAGATAAAGAAAATGCATATATACATACAATGGAATATTATTCAACTTATAAATAAGGAAATTCTGTCACATGTGACAATACAGGGGAACCACAGAAGGACAAACCCTGGATGACTCCTCTTAGAAGAGGAGGGTGGCTTCTTTAACTTTGCTGGTCACTATCAAAACCATTTTTCAAAGCACTTATATCCATAATCATCTCACCAGCTGTGTATGAGAGTTCCAATGTATGGATGCCTGGGAAATTGGTAAGTGGTTTTTATTGTTCACATGTAGTGGCGTGTAGCAGCATCACAGAGAGGAGAAATACAGAGAATGCTTCTGCTCTGGGGTCCCAGGGACACACGTACTTCAAAATCACAGATGACTGAATCCCACACTAACTAAGTGTGTGAGCTTACCCAGTTTGTTTAAGCTTCCAACTCTCCTTCATGCAAGTGGGAATAATGTCCACGTGAGGGCTGTTTGGAGGCTAGAGAACACATGTTCACAGTGCCTAATGTAGTACTGACTCAAAGTCGAGACGAGATCACTGACAGCTAACAAGACCACTCCTTTGCCACTTATTTCCAAAATCAGAGTTGAAGAATCAAGAATCCAGTTTTTCTGAGGGAGTTATAAGGGCAGAGAACTACATAAGCAGATTATTTTCTGATATCATGTATTTGTTCCTGTTGTGGTACCTGAGCAGAGAAATGTATTTTGAACAAGTAAAAGCAAAAAAAAAAAAAAAAAAAACAAAAAACACTACTTCTTTGAGGACCTATAGAAATCCAAAATATCAAATCAAGTGCAACAAAAAGATACTGTCAATGTGTTATGAAATATTTAGAAAGAAAGATCAGAAATTAACTAAAGGCAACTGTTTTCTAGCCAAACTAAAATGGAAAAGTAAGTACCAGATTGGACATCCTCATTTTCAATCACTTACCATGAACTGCTCATTTGGAATCTGTATGCTCCTATGGCGATCTCTCTAAATATTCCTTCAGAGTCATTCATTCACCTGAGGCTTACTGTGGGGAGGAGACAATTGAGTCGTTTTTAAAAGTTACTCACCTCCTTTCATTCTGAGTTATTGTGCCGTTTTCCAGCTTTTTCACTGTGGTTGCCAGCACTTTATTGGCATCGTTGGCAAAATCTAAGTCTCGCACCTCAGACAGTGGGACGGACACAATGGCGAATGCTTCTTTATCTTCTTTCGTTTGGCAGGTTCCAATCTGCAATGTGATTTTTTTTCCATTCAGATGAGTTGTTCCTTTTTCAATGACCATGCAACGGTTAGTACTCTTCGAGCACTAACACATCTTTGTACGGCTTATGAAATACAAATCAGGGGTAGATAATTCAAACACAAACTTCCCACCCCCAGCACCCTCTAAGAAAGGCGACAGGAACACAGATTGTCCATGCCTACATACTGCCTTGTCCCTATACACATCTCTTACCACACCCGCCCTTCGCTTCCATTTCAACAGAGCAGAGAAGATGCAGTCCTGGAGTTCTCTCCCCTTCCTACACGCTGCTCCCACCCTTTGGTATGTGTGCTGCAGCCTCCTGAATCACACAGCCCTGCTAAAGCCGAGCCACTGAGTTCAGCTACCTAAGCAACCAGCAGACATGAGCACTTGATGAAGTGAATTGCAATGTTCCCTAACGCTGCTAAAGACGGGTTGAAAGGAACATGCCAATCACCCCCTAAGCCCATTTACACAACGTCTGGCTGACAATTAAACCATTTTCAGAAATGTTTACCTTCAGCATAACTGGCCTCTCTTCATCTGTGTCTATAGGGATACTAGTGCTGGTTACCCATGTGTTGGTACATAAATGTCTTAACCGAACATAGGAGTTCCTAGAAGCAAAATAATACAAAAAACGTTATAAAAATTAGCCTACTTACATATGAGCATGTTTAACAATTTCATACATGATAGGAACATAAATATATGGTAGACTAGTAACTGATTCAAGTATTGATCAGTCTGGTTGGAGGGAAATTTCTGTACTGTAGACCATTTCAAAGCCTGCAGGATTATTCACCTAGACTGGCGGCTCTCACAGTGTGGTCCCTGGACCAGCAGCAGCAGCATCACCTGCGAACTTGTTAGAAATGCAAATTCCAAGCTTCATCCCAGTCCAGTGATTCGGAAACTCGGAAGGTGAGGCCTGACGATTTTAACAGGCTCTCTGTACAATTCTGACAGATGCTAATGTGAGAGGCGCTGATCGAGTAACCGACTCAGTTAGAGCTGCTGTCTGATAGCGGTCCTCTCTGCAGTTTAATCATCTGCACGTGAAAGTATGCACAGCTGATTCCACTACTCATACATTCCACACTTGTGCATTTATCTACTCACTCAATCAGAAACTCCCAAATCCGTGCTCAGGGCACTGTCACGGCAACCCTCGGAAACATGTGGAGTGACAGAGAGTTTGAACCGCACACAGGCCCAGGGAGGCTGAAACAGGCAATGCTTTGCCTCCTTGTTTCTGTTTGCACACTGCAAACAAGTGTCCTTTCATGGTCGATTCAGTACCATGTTTTCCACCTTTATATTCTCTTTAGTGGTGAAGTTGCTGTTTAAAACAGCCCCCAGGCATATAGCTGAAGCACTGCCTACTATTCCTAGGAGCGAGGCTGTGCTGTGCCATACGGAGAAAATACTCGTGTTAGATAAACCACATTCAGACATGAGTTCTAGTTCTGATGGCTGTGAGTTCAACATTAACAAATCAACAATATATATTAAGTAAGGTGTCTTCAAACAGGAACACACACACAACAAGTTTATGTATCAACTGAGTGCCAAAAACATGGTGACCAGAGGTTCACGGGAACCTGACCCTGGGTGTCCCCAGGAGCAATGGCTGAGTAGTTGCCAGTTCAGGGCACTGGGGACAGGAAGTGTCATCTGTGTATGAACTGGGACAGTGCCTGAGCAAGGACAGCTAGAACTTCACCCAGCTCAAGTACTATCATTTCTAGTGAACCTTTCATCATTTCTTTAACAAACATGAGTTTCGATGTCTATTAAAAAATATTACTGTGGCAAGTGCTCTGCCTTCCAGTTCCTGCAAATTTAGTAAGAACAGTAAGATACAACCAGGTCGCACAACATGGGGCAGAAAGCAGGAAAGGCCAGTAAGAGAAAATCAAATAAAATGTCAAGGGCCTCAGAGAAAGTAAGAGATTCATTCAACATCATGGTTCTCTCATTCATAAAAGTAGATAAAATAAAGACTTATTTTCAAAAATCTAAAATAGCAAAGATCCAACCCTTATTCGAATAATCAGAAATTTTGAAATAACCCTTCTACCATGTATCGTCCTCTGCATTGAATTACACCGGAGATGTTGCGTGGATTCAGCTGCCTTCCCCCAGTGTACTTCAAGCATCTGGAAAGTTGAGCTGTATCTTACCAAGCCCTGCACCTGTGTCCCATGCTCTTCACTGGTATACTTGTTCAATATATGCTCATTGAGTCAACCTAGATTGCTAGGTTCCAGATGACACGTAAGTATAATTTTATTTTACAAGAACTTTGAAAATGAATAACTCTTAGGACGCATGCCACATAAATATGTTGCTATTAAGTTCTTGATATAATCTGAATGTCTAAAATATGAAGACATTGTAGCATACTGCTTAAGAGTATAGATTTTGAGTTCACACACTCCAGGATCACATACCCTCGTAACAATTTTAAAAAGCAAAGCCTGCAACCCACCCCAAAGCCTCTGATTTCACTGGTCTTGTTGCGGCCGGGGCACAGAGAGGCCCCACTGCTTCTTGGGTAATGACGTTTCGGGTCAACTTGAAAAGCCCTGCTCTGAGTCTCTCGTTCCTTATTTGTTAGAGTTGCTTGGCTGAGTACTCAGAAAGTGCTCACGAATTTTATTGTAAGAGTAGTTATTATTAAATGTTAGTTAACATTAGCTTTAATGCAAAGTAATCTGTTAATACGAAGTTCCAATTTATAGTGAGAAAGGCTTCTAAGTAATAATAGACTAACACTTTCATACAAACTAAGTCTCAGGGACTTGTCATGGGTCTGTGCACTTTATAGTGAGATCATTTTATCATTTCCTTAAGCAAACTTTCTTGGAGTGCAAGAAGGATTCCATTTTGCAGAGTTTAAATCCAAAATGATGAAAGTTGTAATAAGGATTAAGATTCCATCCCAATACTCAGAAGAGAAGACCACAGACCTAGATCAGGTAAACACCTTCAGAGGGAATCTCTTTACAGGCTGGGAGAACAGGGAAGAGTAAGGTAAAGCTCACCTGAAGCCAAGATGTGGCAACAGTTCTCATGAATGAGAATAATCATGAAACACCCTGGGAAGCTCAAGGAGCAATGTTAGAATAGCACCATTTTACCCTCCCTTGAGAGTAACCTATACAACAATGTCTGCATTCTGTGTCAGTACCTTAAGCCTCACCACCGCCATGTGGCCAAGGCCAAACACTATCATGCTCTCTCAGAGACAATCTAGAACCATCCCACTAGACCTAATCAAATGGGCAAGACTCGTCTCTGCATCTAGAGACTGCATGAGAGTGTTATTGCTGGAAGGTAGGCAGTTGTAGTCAAAAGACCTTAATTAAAGTAATCAAATACAAGCAAAAATATACAATATTTTCTTACATTAAGTCCTGGCTACAATCCCCCTCCCCCTCTTCCGGCTCACTTAGGTCCATCTGGTCTCCTAGCTGGTCCTTCAGCACACCTGGTAAAGTTTAAGATTTTTCCATTTGATGCTCCCTCAAAACACTCCCGACAGAGAGGACTGATCCCTGAAATCATTTGGATGTTTTCTCAAATATCCTAAATGAGAGGCCATTTCTGGACACTCATACCTAACAGAACTCTCTCCACACTCTACCATTTTTCTTGAAGGCACTTTCATTACCTGACCTTATACTTTATGTTCATCTATTGCCTCTCTCCCCCATTTGGATTCAAGTACATAACCAGTTTGCTCACTGTTGTCTTCCCAATGCCAAGAGCAATGCGTAGAATTTAATCAATGTTCCATAAAGATTTGTTGACTGAATGGCTGAGTGAATGAATGAATAAATGAATGAATGAAATATGGAATTTAACATCATAAAAATAAACTATATAAATATTAATAAAAAGCTCCTGGGGTATTTTTCATTTTAGTAACCAAAGTCTATATAATAAGAATAAATGGGTCTCATGAATTTTTCAGAATTTCTTTGGCCCTGCATATTTTAATTATTTATGAAAATAAAGCAAACTACATTAACCTACTCACAAAAAGATGCATGATTTTTTACACACTTGTTCTTCACTGATGCTCTCTCCCTCTACAACACAAAAATTATATTAACATTATGATTTTAATTTCTTACCTACCACTAAAATTATTCAAAGAAATAATATAATGTAACCATAGTTCTTTTTCTTACCGTGGAACCAAGCAGTCAGCTCTCTGAAGAGTGGTGGCATCCAGTTCAAAAAGGGACGCGATGTCGTTCCCATGGGGCACAGAGACCAAGGTGTACATGATCTTCTCCCCTGCCTGGCGCTTCTTCTTTGAAGTCGGAAGATCTCCCTCTCTCTGTTGAGGAGCCACAAGGTTATTTACTTTCACCAGGTTTCTTACTAAAGTCTCCAGTCAATTGGGAGGTAAGTTTTAAATCTGCATGTTATTTCTTCATCGGGTTATAGCAAGGCACATTTCACATCAACCAAAAATAGCAGGTCAGGCCTGACAGTCCCTGGGGGAGTTATTATCATCAGGGACAAGTCACACAGTCCTGGAGTGGTCAATGAATCTGTACAAACTATCAAGGTACCGAAAGTCCCCACAGTCATGCTCCCTCCCCTTCAGGAAACCTGTGTACACAGTGGTGGTGTTGACCACTCCACATTTAAAACAAACACAGAGGAGAAACAGTGTGTGCTGAATCATCCGGATGCCACAAATCGAAGAGGCAGCATGGCCATGCGTCAGAGCTCCTGCCTGGGTCCAACAGTGTAACTGAGACAGGTACCTGGAGAGAAGGGGAATCGCCCACAGCATTCCCACTCACTTCACTGACTCGTTCCATTAGAACCAAGACCATACTACACTGGCATTTATTCAGTGAAATAAAGCGAGATCTTCACAAATAAAAGCCTTCGTGGTGATCTGAAATTCAATCAATATTTCTAGCAGAAGCTTAACACATTTTAAGCAGGCAACCACATAAGACTGATGATCAGGTATTTTTACTTGAATTCTTCCAAGTCTCAATCCCCCTGTAGAAGAATTTGATGCAGATGAAACCAAAATGCCAATATAAGCTTGGCAATTAAGTACATAAAATAATTAATTATACATATTTATGGAAACAAATGAAATTTTAAAATGAGAGAAAGATGCCACTGTACCACCACAGGAACTTGAGAAAAAGTGGGGGAGGGAAGGGATGCTCAGAAGGCAAATGAATGCAGTCAGTATCCAGCCACGAGCATTTTTTAGTTAATGGCTGCCGTGGCAATGAAACATTACACCCGATCACTCCAACACATTCACTTGCATTTCCACCCCAAGATTGTGAATTTCATGTTCCTTCCATCAGGAAAGGCTTACAGTTTCATTTTGCTGCCTTCTGCAAATGGTGCACAAACTGGTAGCACCTCTGAACCATGAACAAGCAAAAAAACTTTCAGGTTTTGCTATGGACCTAACACTGTTCTAAAAAAATAGTATCTATCAAAAAAAAAAAAACCAAAGTCGGAAAGAAAATATACCCAATAGTGTATCTGATAAGAGAATTGTATCCAGAATATATGAAGAACACTTAAAACACAATAATAAAACGACAACCCAATTAAAAATTGAGCAAAGCATTTGAACAGACATTTCTCCACAGACGATATACAAATAGCCAAAAAGCACATGCAAAGACACTCAGTGTCATTACTAATTAGTTTAGTGCACTGGGATGGCTATAATCAAAGAAACAGACAATAGCAAGTGTTAGTGAGAATGTGAAAATCCTGATACTCATATACTGTGGAGGAAACATAAAACATAAAAACATAAATATATCCATTTAGGAAAAACATCAGTTCCTCAAAAGAGTAACATGTAATCTGCAGTCCTAATTCTAGGAATCTACCCAAGAGAAATGAAAATATATGACCACACAAACGCTTGTACATGAACATTCATAGCAGCATTATCTATAATAGCCAAAAAGTGGAAACAACCCAAATGTTCATCAAATGATGAATGATAAACAAAATGTGGTACATGCACAAAGAAATATTATTTGGCCATTAAAAGGAATGAAGTACAGACAGATTCTACAATACGCATGAACCTTGAAAACATTATGCTAAGTGAGAGAAGCCAGACCCAGAAAGCCATATATTGTATAAGTCTATATAGGAAATATCCAGAATAGGCAAACCCATGGTGACAGCAGATTCATGGCTACCAGGCCTAGGTGAGAGAGGGAATATAGAGTGACTGCTATCGGAGACAGGTCTCTTTTGGGGATAATAAATGTTCTCTTACCGTTGCCCAGCATAGAAGCAACAAAGTAGCATTTCAGTCTTCTCGGAGGAATCCCATATCCCCAAAAGGAATATGTGTCATCTAATTTCTTGAGTCCCTATACACCAGTCTTCTAATAATAATTTAGCTTTTGATACAGATTTTCATTCAAGAGAAATGTATTAACTGACCCGACAATTTAGATATACTTAGCAACTGAATGTTGGCATCGTGGTTTATACAATTAGTCATCTGTGAGTTAATTTAGCAGGAGTCAATCCACCTCTATGCACTCCCCTTTTGAAGTGCTAGTATCAGTCAAATGAATTCGCCAGACTTATAAAGAGAAAGCAGATCCAGGTGCCTCGAGATTGCCCTCCTACCCAGTCCTCCTTGGTAATGGCTCCCTGTGGGATCCCAACAAGAGTAGTCAGAGACCTATTTTACAGTGAACAATAAAAATCTTTTGCAAACATAGAAAAACCCCATTTCTTAGGGCTCATATAAAAAGGTCATTCTGAATTATGCATACTATTTAAGACCTATGGTTTCATTTTAATTACATAGTGTAAGTGGAATGTACGATTGTACCCCTAAATAATTTACTTAGGTCCTTGGGGGAAAATAGTTTAATGAATAGATAAGTTTCATTTATAAATAGCCTAATAAATGTTTGTGTGAAAAAGAGCTTTCAACATGTTTAGAAGTTTTTTTAACAGTGCTGCATTCTTAAACTTTCTGCTTTTAATTTCTTTTACTCTGATAATTTGCTTAAACATGGCTTCATAAAGGCCTTACTTTGGTTTGACAGTAAACTTTCAAAACTTTTAAATAATGAAATATGAATAGTGAGTTATAAGCATACAAGTTTTAAATGTGTGGATCAAGCTACAATATACAAGAAAACCAGTCTTATATTTTGATAACACAAAGACAGTTCTGTTCAAAATTGTGTGCTTGTGGCTTTTATATAGAAACCGACATCTTTTTCTAAGAAAAAAGACACAAAACACTAGTTCCCCACACAGAAGTACAGAAGTACAATGCCCTCCTTCTTGCATCATGAAAATACGTTAAGGTATAGCAGAGCGTAGACAGGTGTTAAATTTAACATCAGCCAGCTATCCAAAACACTCAGTTTAGGGAAGGCAGGGCCTCAGAATATTAACGTAGTCTGCTGGGCTCTTATAAAACTAGCATTTTCACTTGGAAGGAAAGGCGTACAGCCTGGCAGGTTATATGAGTTGAAAAATCCCTTATGAAAAGCCAGCCCAGTAAACAAACGGCTCCTGGCTTCTCCGGTCCGTCCTGGGGCCGCCCGCGGCAACACAGCAGTTAGTCTGCTGTAACACCTTCTCTGTTGACTCATTTGTGAGTCATCGAATTTTCAGCAGAGACATCGCTTTGCACTTCTGTTGTTAGGAGCCAGAGACATTCGGTAAGAAACAATGTATGCGTTTTCAAGGCTGACTCAGACCTGTGTGGAGCCGCAGCAGCAAGATCACGTGCAAGCATCTGTGTATTTCTGTTCAGCCCCTCGGGGCTCCTACTGACGACTTTATGTAACAGACACAATCCTGTCATTTAAAGCAGCAAGCACTTCTTTTGCCATTCCTTAACAATCTTATTCTCAAACGAATTCCTAACATGCCCCCCTTTCTTTCTTTTCTTTATCATGTTACCACTGTAAAACTCAAGGGAATTTGGTGGTCTTCTTTCAGAATCTGGTACCTACCTCAAAAAATCCTACAGAGTAGAATTTTCAAGTCTATTTCAGCACAGTTTCCTGGCTTCTAGAACATTTTTGTTTATGTATGTTTATGCACAAAGACTGATGGTTCTCAACGAGAAGACCGTCTGGTACCCAGGGGCATTTGGCAATTTGCAGGTACACTTATAGTTGCCATAGCTTGGGGTAGGCGGAGCCACCGCTGGTACCAGTGAGTATAGAGTCCCTGGATGCTGCCAAACACCCTACGATGCAAAAGACAGTCCCCCACAACAAAGAATTTTCCGACCCAGTATGTCAATATTGCTGAGGTCAAGAATCCTCAGCATGGACAAAAGATACTCCCTTGAAAAATCAGATCACATTCCACCTGAATGTGGTAAGGTTAAAATGGGTGGTGTTATTCCCCACTACCATCCCCCCCGCCCCGGAAAAAAATCCCCTTCAAAGAGCCATTTGAAAAGATACAGCCTTTCAAGGAGAAGAAACTAATGACTGCCAGGTTCCCAGCTGGGCTTGACACAGCTCCAATATTTACAGAGTCCCTGTGGATGCTGTACATTTGTAAGATTGGAAATAATAGGCTCTTTTGTAGAATAAATACAGCAATCTGGGTCTTAATGGGAGCTCTGACACACACGGACCCATTTCAGCAGCACCGTGCATTAACCTTTGACACTTCAAAAATGGAAGGCAACATTTTGATACAGGTTTACAAATTACAGGAAAAATATTAACTGGATATTAAATAGACAACACAGGGAAAATTAGAAAAGAAAATAATTAGCATGGTCCCAGTGAACCCCGTGTTACCGGAATCCAGGGCTGAGGTGAGAGAGCATTCTGTTCTGTTTTGGGAAATTGGTTTCATTTTTCACAGGTGAAACCCTAACTGCTCCTTTGGTTTCATTTTGTTTTGTTCCTTTTTACACAGAAACATAATTATTGGTAGGTGGTAAATGGTCTATTACATGAGGAGCCATATTGTTAGCTTTATTGTTCCACATTCTCAGTTTTGTTTACTTTCAAGCTAGGGATCTTGGAGAGAAAAGGATAAAATAAACTGTCTCCAGTTGGATGTGTCTCTGAAGTGGCAGATGACACCCAGTCACAGTCTCCCACGACAGAGGTGGTCCTGCCTGCATTACCTGCAGCTACGCACTGCGGAAACAAAAGAGCGCTCTTTCTTACCTTCAGAGCTGACTAAAGAAGGAAAAAGCCTATCAAGTCTACCTGAAAGCTAATTAACACAAAGAGTGAACTCCATCATGGATTTATTAGCTATTCACATTCTTTACGCTGCTCCACAAACCTTCACACTCTATATCCTCCCACTCAGCACTGCCCAGAAGAATTAGCAGCACCACCAAGTAGTACCCAGCTGAAAGGAGATGAGCTCAGAGATGTATTTCAGTTGCACAATTTGAAGCTTTGAGATGGTGCGCTTTTAACAGAAACATGACACACCTTTAGCCCACTGACATCTTTATTGGAAGAGTTGCCATCTGTCTGATCACCTTGTAACTTTACTGCAGGCAAGCGGGGCATGCTGAGCAAACACTGTCATCCCACTATGCAGATGAGGACACTGAGTCTCAGGAAAGCTGCCTGACTTGTCCAAGGCAACACAAGTCAATGGTGGTACTAGGAGTAGGGCTCTCTTGGCCCTACCATGAAGAAGTCACATAGAATATCTTAGAAATAAACCTGGATAAAGAGAAAAGCACCGCCCTGACATTCAACAGCTGGCCCTGGTGTGGCTGGGAGCTGGCCCTGCACTCATGGCAAGGTCATGGTGTTCTCCAGTCAAACATGAACAATGTCGCAAAACTTCAACAGCAGATGAGGCCACCCCACGACTAGGATGGATCAAGACAATACACTACCACGCTGAAATCATGTCTGAATATTGACAAAATAGGAACGCTGTTCAAGCCACAAAAATGATGGAATATCCCTCTGCCTGAGCTCACAGGAGCGACTGCTGCTTCTTTACAAGGACAGCGTTAGCCTGGCTCCAGGCTGCCCTCTCTATAGATAGCACTTACTGAAACACGTCCTGAAAGCCTTTCGATCCAGCACACAAGCTCACCTCCTTAAATCCTCCCCAAAATCATCTTGCACAAACCCGAATCCTATAATACATTCTTCCTCCTGAAGCCTTACCTACATGTCTCACGGTCCCCATAATGTGTGAGAAATGAAGAGCAATCCCAACTCGCTCAAGTACACATGTGCTCCTGGTGGTCTCTGACTGGAAGACCACCGATGAGCTTACAATCACAACCAAAGAAGCTATGATTCATACTTAGCTTGTAAAACATGGCCACGGAGAGCATTTTTCTAAATCACATGAAAGTAAGGAACCAACAATCCTGGGGCATCTTTTTTGAAAACCAGAGGGAAAAGAGTCACAGAGAGTGACAACATTGAATTAAACACAGTGGATCCTATTGCTCTGATAAGCCGAAGTCTATCTTTAGACACAATTTCAAGTGTCCATTGGGTCAGTGACCTGATACTTTAGCTTATTTCTATTGGAATCATGATGGATGGGGAGAGGAACCAAACAGGACGGACTCAGAGCCAGAAATTTTAATTGCACTCACCTCCCCACATCTTCATAAAACATAAAGCTATATAGCAATACAAAGATGTAGTCATTTTAACTGAACATTCCAACTCTTCCTATCAAACAGGAGAATTTTGGATAATATAGGACTAACAACTGCCAATTCAAAAACAAATGATTAAATTCCTAGGAAAATTAAATTATAGATTGCATCTATTTTATATCAAAATATCTGGATACATTACAAAAAAATAATAATATGCCCATCGTCCATCTGTATGACTTCAAATTGTCCTGAATTTCTGAATTTTTTGATTGAATTAAGTCATGTTGTAATTATAAAATTATTATCCTTACACATGATGATGAAATGAGCAGGGTGAATAAGCACAAATATTTTAACATAAATTGACTTTAAAGTAAGACTGAGACGTTTTTGAGGAGCGCACTTTAGAATATGCTACTCCACAAACCTTGAGCAGAAATATCAGAATATCAAACTACAGAATATCAGAAAAACCAATCATCTCATTGTTTGATGCTTCGAAGCATCCCTGTAAGTTGAAAACAGATTATTTTGAATCTTTTTGATTCAGACTGCCATGCCCTGGCTGGTGTGGCTCAGTGGACTGAGCACCGGCCTGCAAACCAAAGGGTCACCAGTTCAATTCCCAATCTGGGCACATGCCTGGTCACGGGCCAGGTCCCATTGGGAGATGCGTGAGAGGCAACCACACACTGATGTTTGTCTCCCTCTGTTTCTCCCTCCCTTCCTCTCTCTAAAAATAAATAAAATCTTTTTTAAAAAGTTATCCTATTATCCTACGTAGTACCACGCAATAATTACATTTCTCCTGCCTAACTTCTACTCACTTCTGAAACCCAAACCTAGACCCACCACATCCCCAAGATGCTGGTTGTCTTCAGTGTTCGATCACAAATGGACTGCAAGTTGCTAGACATCTCCCTAAATACCCACTATGGACATCTTATACTCTAAGCCATTATCATCTTTTATCTTTCATCTTTCATCCACAGCTTCTACTTACAGAATCTCCCTCAGAGATCCTAGTCTTGAAATTTCCTATTAACTTTTCAGTTTGTTCATATAAATACAAACAATATGTTTACGATTTGTTGGGGGGGGACAATTCTACTCACCACATTTTTTCCTTCATTTGGGGGATCCCGATAATCAGGATTAAGCTAAAAAACAAAACAAAACTAGTTTAATTACTATTAAAAGCACATTCATAAGACCAGTGATCTTCATTTCAGTTCACTAGTGTATCATTAACTTGGTTTAAAAGAAGCTAAGAAAAGAACCATTAGTAAATATTAAAATTTAAAACATTACCTTCAAACGCTAGTTGCAGGAGACAAGAGCTAAATGCAAAGTGTATGTGTTTTATTTATGTTAAGATCAGTTGACATTTGTGAACAAGTAAGAACTGCCCATCCCACGTCCTCCAGGGAAGCGTTTACGAGTTCATTTTACACACCACGAAATCTGCCATTGCCCAATCACTCAGACGTCAGTTTTAAAAAACAGACCAAAGGAAGGTTTTAACAATGATTCAAGATCATGCTCCACATGCTATAAGCACGAGAAAAGAAAACCAAGCAAAAGAGGAACAAGGTGTCAGGCGTGTATGGGACACGTGGCCCACCAGTGCGGGAGGACCACGGAGACACCCGCACAGGAGCGCGTGTCTTCGGGCTGGGACTGTGGCGTTCGGGGGCGTGGCCACGGGAAGGCTGAGTTCCGCCCACCCGTTAGCCCACGCGCCTCCAGAACTCCGGACTCCCACCTGACCACACAGCCTCAAAAGGATGTCTTTGATCCCCTGAAATAGCTACTAGTTCATAGTTTGTAAAACAACAAATTCGTAAGATGTTTTTTCTCTAAATAGCAAGTTGTCCAATTGGACTTAATCATTTTAATGTAAATCAGTTGGTGTGTATACTATGCAACCTCAGGTAGTTAAAGTCACCATTTAAAATATAAGGTCAGGAGTCTTCCCCAAAGTGACACTTGGCTAGGCATCCATGAGGAATGTTGCCCCAAGTTATCAATAATTATCAACAAAAGTGATGAAAAAGCTCAAAAGCAAAACAAAACAAAAAACTCCCAACCTCACTGAAAACTAAAGCGGAAAAACAACCTAAACCCCGAATCTTCAGGGAATTGACAATAATTATAAACTGGACAGAGCTAAGGCAGGGGCGGTTAACCCCCCAGTTTTTATCTCACGGCACATCCATGAAATGTTCACCTCACTCCCAGCCAGTGGCCATGTGGACACAGTTAAAAGGATTCTTGCTGCGGTTCCCACTCGCATCTGTCCACTGACTCAGAGACCCAGATTATTCACCAACCAACAAGAGAAGTGTTTCTCTATCGCTAAGAAGCTGCTGTGATGTTAGATGGAGCAGAAAATTGCCCAGTCCTTCCAACCACTGTCCTGTTACCCATCTCTACCTTTTCATGACCAAAGAGTTATAACAAAGCACAGAAAACAATGGACAGAAAGAGGAGATGCAGACAACGGCAGAGGACTTTCTGAGAAGCATCACCTGAACTAAAAGGAGAAAAGAGAACGCACTGGGGATGCTCTGTGTTGGGATCACACTGCACAGACAGACAGAAAGAGCAAAGGACTGGGGGCAGGGAGGAGGCACCAAGGAGCAACGGCAATAGAATCCAGGTAAGTGGAGTCAAGAGCTGCTAGAACAGGGAACTACATGGAACATGCCCTTTATTCTGCCTTGCAGCTAAAAATTTAGAAAGAGGACTGAAAATTTTTTTAAAAAATGGAACAAGAGGACCATCCACTCAACCCATCTGGCTCTACACAGAGCTCTAAGGAAAGATAACAAGGAGGGAAGAAAAAAACACAACAACATGAGACTGATGGTGAAGTTTGTTAAAAAAGGGTAAAATTCTTTTTCGGAGTTTTTCTGAATATGTTCTACGGTAAGATGCAAAATAAATGTTCAGGAAATGGTTTGGTTCACTCTCAGGACAGCACAAGTAAACATTTCTTCTATGCAAAGGCAACAGAATAGGATGATCGGGAAAATGTCATATAAAAATAATCATATAAATAATAAAACTGGTGGTTGGGGGATAGAGAGGGTTAGAAAATAGAAATCCAGCTACAAGTCACCAGTTAGTGCTGGGCCAGCCCCTGCAGAGGGGAGACTAACCCTCCCTTTTCTACGGAGATATGTACCCCAGTCTCCTTAAATTGTCTTGAATTATGAATAAAAGAATTAGCAGCAAAACAGCATTATCTTGCTTTTGGAATTCAAGAGTGAAAGGTAAAAAGCCGAAAAGATAGTTAATTAACCAGCCTCCAGTCTACTAATTAATCAAACTCAAAAAGTCGCACTTTTACTTTGAAACAATGAAAGTTTCAACATTGTGCCCAGAAGGGGTTTATTCAGCTCTTTTAGTCAAGTATCACTGTTTCATAGTTTTTCATTTATTTTCCGTTTAAAGAATTCAGACTCTTACATTTAAAAATCCACACCACAATTATATCCGAAAGACATGCACCATGTTTCACCAAGGGCATGCTTCACGGTCGTGGTTTGCTCACCAAGTGCTGGAACAGCTGGCGGCAACACTGTAAAGTGAATCGTGGTGGGAGCGTATCACATCCACAACTGAACTATGCGCAGGAACAGGAATTGATGTACCTGAGTCAAACGCAGAATCATTTACGCTCTGTGAAACGTAACTTGAATTCTACCCCAAAGACAATGTGACTTTCTGTAATTCACTCTTCACGTAGCTCAGGCCTTTAGGGCCGCCCGGTTCAGCCCCTCAGAGGTGGCTGTGGGACTGGAGTCTTGACTCTGCTCTGTAGGGAAATACCATGGGCCTTAGAAAAAGTCACCTAACCCCCATGGAGCTCAGGGTCCAAACCTGTAAAACGAGGAAAGTCTATGCCTAAGGCCTAATCATACTAAGTATATGTAATTAAATTTCACATCTTTGTGTCTTTGGCAATAGTGCTAAAGATGGTGCTGATCGGTTAGATTCTGCCTCGTCTTGTGTCTCTCAGGCTACAGTATGTTTTCTTAATAATTAATAAAAAGTTGCTGCTTCGGTGAATTTACTAAAGAAATAATAATAGTAAGGATGAGGAGGAGGGTGGGGAGAAGAAAAAGGAGGAGAAAGAGGGAAAGGAAGAGAAGCCAGCCATAAATCCCTGGCTATATATATTTACCCATATTAACTAAAGGCCAAATAAATATATGCTTCAATATATGTTTTAATTATACTGTTGCTTTATTTCTCTAAATACAATAAGAGCAGCAATTATTAATGTAAGGAGACTAAAGATGAATCAAAAAAATTTCTAAAAAATAAGATAAAACACAGTCATGTGGAGATTCCTGAATCTTTTAGGACTTTAAAGAAAATATTTTCTTATGTTAAAAATAAATTAGAAATCTGGCATTGGAGAAAATGATCTAATATGCGATTCAATCATGTAGCCAATAAATATTAATAGAGCATCTATAATGGGCAAAGCACTGTGGTGCATGGTATTTTAGCAAAAACAAAGAATAGGGTTCCTGACCACGAGACCTTACAATCTAGGTGGAGAAATGAGACACAAATATAGTTAGCCTACAAAGTAGAAGGTGACAAGAGATATACGATAGAAATGAATGATTTATAAATTATATAGGTCAGAAGAAGGAGTCTGTGGTAGGCAAATTTATTCAAGAATAAATTCATGGAGAAGGTAGCATTTGAGGTAAGTCCCTACGATGGGCAGAATTATAACAGGCAGAGAAGGAAAGAGGGGGTGAGGCAAACAGGCAGTGCCAGGAGTGAGGGCCACACTGGTGAGGAAAGGAGGCTTGCTCAGAGGAGATCCATGAATGTCACTTAGGGAATACTTTTTATATGCTTTTAAAGGTTAATCATCTGCCTTTATAATTCTCCTATTAGAAGGGAGTCTTAGCCCCACTTCACGGAGGGGCCCCCAGAACACATCAGACGAAGCACTGTACTCAGTCCCTCCGCTGGTGAGGGGCAGGGCTACGTGGGAGCTCTGCTCTGAAGGTTCCATGGCCACATCTTTTAGTTACGCTAGCTCCTGACTTCCTGCAGCCCAATGGGGTGTTCGCATCTTCAGAAGGACCCAAATATCTTTAGGAGGACATTTGTGGAAATGAGGCATTAAAAATCCTCAACTGGTCATGGTTAGTAGGAGACGAAGACAGAAGATGGAAGAGGCAAAGGAACCGAGTGCGGCGGCTGGACCGAGGTGGGGTAGAGTACCACCAAAAGTGATAATGCTGAGATGGAAAGGAGACCATGAACATGGAAGGTTATACAGAGACCAATCAGCGGAACACAGCTGTGTAAACTGAGAGAGAAAAGTACGTTTATCACGACGCTCAGGTTCTCAACCTGAACTAAGAAAATTCACTGTTTTGCAGGGAAACACCTGAATCTCGGGTGTATGTACTGAGTGGCAGTGGCAGTGGTTCGTTTGCGACCAAGTTCACGGACAACTGCAGCCATGGGAGTGAGTGACAAGGGCAGAAGACAAAGGACAAACACCCACTGCTATCCTTTGAAGGGACTTCTCATTTAAACGGCCAAAGAGGACCAGAAAGCAGTCCCGTAGAGCATGTGACAAGTCAGAATAGAAGTGGCAGAGAAACAGTGAGCAAATAAATACCGAGGCAGTGAAAGTCAGGACACAGTCAAATGAAAGACAACTGCAACGCCCACCTGAACAACAGGAAGGAACAGACTGAAATTTTGTTAAGTTCACAAGGAAAATGTTACTTTTTAACAATGGAATGCATTTTAATCTATTACGGTTCTACAATAGAATAAATTATATAATGACATTAAAATCATTAAATCCTCGTGTGTATTTATAAATGCTTATATATGTAGATTCCTCTCTCTAATTACCGGCATTTCAGAGCCAGTCTATTCTGACTGATAAATCTAAAAAAAGAGGAGACTGGGATGGGAGAAATAGACAAAAAACTGTACTTGAAAAATAACTAAATAAAATTTTTTTAAAAAGAGGAGAAAAGCAACATTTACTAAATGTTTATGTGTGCTGACACAAGTGATATTTTGATATGTAATTTCAAAATTACATATTTGCTATGTAGGTATTTACTTGTGTCTGTAGGACCAGGTATGCATGTTCTACTGT